GGGTGAAGCAGAAGGGTAGATCTGTGGCGGGAAGGGATGGGCAGCAGGGAGAGGCAGAGCAGGTGAGTAGAAGAGGTGTTAGGAGAGGGGATAGCAGAGTACTTCCACTGCTTTAACTCAACCCTGGAGAAAAAGGGGGAGGCTAAAATCACATTGTCTGCCTTCTGGCGGAGGATGGCACCCCCCTCACGGATCCAGTAGAGATGCGTGAGAGGGCTCGTGCCTTCTATGCCTCTCTGTTCTCCCCGGATCGGACTGACACCGATGCTTGCAGGGTTCTCTGGAACGAACTCCTGACAGTCAGCGCAGGTGAAGGACGCTTTGCTGCCCACTGCTTGGTGCTTGGGTGTACCTAAACGGAGTCCTGTGAGAGGGTGCACTCTACCCCCTGGCCTCCCCAGCCCCACGTACCTTCCCGACCACCTCCCCCTCATCACCTGAGCCAGCTTCACGCGTTGCAGTCAGTCCCCTTCCAAACATTCACCTGTACATACTCGTACTTCACACGCTGCACGTCCCCACCCTCGTGTCCCACCCAGACACCAAGTGGCAGGACCTCCTACCACCAATAGAGGGTGGGGAGCCCCGGTGGGCCTGTCTCTATGGGTATGTCTACACTGCCACCCTAGTTCAAACTAGGGTGGCTAATGTAGGCATTCAAACTTGCAAATGAAGCCTGGGATTTAAATATCCCGGGCTTTATTTGCATGTTCCCGGGCATCGCCATTTTTAAATGTCCCGTAGTTCGAACTACCTGCCCGCGGTTACACGCGACATGGACTAGGTAGGTCGAATTAAAGCTCCTAATTCGCACTACCATTCTTCCTCCTGCAATGAGCTGTGAGCACGGGGAGTGTACTTGGCACGGTTCACCCCCCCTTCCCGACACTTGCCCCTTCTGTGGCATAAGGGAGACTCTGGCACAGGTCTACAGCCCCTCTTTCAGCTCTTCCAGAACCTCTTGTTGAGGTTCTGGCTGCACTTCTCCCCTCACCTGTTAATTTACACACATCCCATCCATGGCCCACAAAGACATGGGACCTCCTCCTGGCAATTTACTAAACCAGGGAGCAGAGGTTGGCTGGGGGAGGGGACTGTGACTATGAAGCCTATTTCCATTCCTGCATCCGCTCACATATCCGGGCAGAGTTCCACTGGGCGGCGTCCGCTGGCTCTCTCAAAACCTTCAAGGGGTAGTGGGCGCTGTCCAGGGTTCTTTGCTTAGTGTCCCCATCTGGGTCCCTTGTTTTAGCCCTTTGACCCTCACACCCGTTTCTGTTTTCACTTTGTCCCAAGTAATTGGTTGGTTATCTGGACTCTGTGGACCCTCCCCATAGGCTGGGGGAGAGGGTCCTTTAGATGTGGGTGGGCTGGCGCCCACCTTCCTCCCACACACTGACTAAGATCAGGCCTCGGCAGCCATCTGCTCTCAGGCTGCCACACTACGCACACACACAGTACTACGCTCTGGTTTCCCCAGCTCTCTGTTCCAGCATTAACTCAGTTCCTAGCTCTCACTTGCTTTTCTATGGGAACAGCACCCAAGTTTAAAAGGTAGTCAGGGCGATTCAGTGAAGCACCCAGTATTATGCTGACCATATGTCCTGAGTTTTCCACAGCCGCCCCAAATTTAAATCTCTGTCCCGGTGCCTCATCAAGTAGTGAAATGTCCCGGAAAGCCCCATCAGACATGTCATTACTTGATGGGGACACCGGCTTGTGGGAAGAAACACTGTGCCATGTCATTGCTCCTCATGCAGCACACAGCCTCCTCCCCCCAGCAGAGTGTGTAAGGTATCCAGGCCAGCTACCAGTGGTGTGCGGCCCCCCCTTCCCTCTCCCAACCCCTCCCTCCCCTCCATGGGACTGCCTCTGCCACATGGGGTCCTGATCCAGCAGCACCACCTCCACCTCCTCTGGGCTGCCTTGGAGTCCCAGCAGGACCCATGCAGAGCCCGGCTGGGGCGCTGCAGGGCAGGGTATGTTTGGGGGTGGCCAGTGCTGGGACGGCAGCAGAGGCTGCCCACGGTGCTATATTTTAGTACCATGGACCAGGTCCCTGCGGGTGGCCCCAGCTCCAGCTGGAGTCAAGCAGCAGCCACACAAGGTGCGTTCCAGCCAGGGAAGCCTCACTGGAGCAGGTCTCATGCACCTGCCGCTTGACTCCAGCTGGAGCCAAGCAGCCCACGGGTACTGAGGTACTAAAAATAGCACCACTGGTGGCCTCTGCACCAGTCCCAGCATTTGGTCCCACCCCGGGAACAGATGGGGCTGGGACTGTGGTAATAAAAAGAGCATCACAGCCCAGTTTCAACCCTGCAAACTGCTTTCCACATCGAAGGCAGGTGAGGGAAGGAGCATGGGGAGAACTAAGGGGAAGGGAGGGTGAGAAGAGAAAGGGGCTTGTGCTGAGGGGAGGGGGACAGGGCAGGAGACGAAGGGGATGGCACCAAGGGGCAGGGTGGAGGAGAGACAAATGCCAGGGGGAAAAGGGCGGGGGGAAGGTGTCAGTGCAGGTGGGAGAAGGCAGGGACAATGGAGGCAAGAGGATGGCAGAGGAGAGAGAAGCAGTGGGTGCCAGCAGAAGAGGGGTTGAAAGGAGGGGTGGGCATGAGGAAGGCAGGGTATGGAGCAAGTTGTATATATGGGTGCACAGGGGCATGAGGAGAACAAGGGCAGTGGGTGGTGAGAGGGTGGGCACCAAGGAGAAGGAGGGCAAGGAGGCAGTGAGGGAAGGAGGAGGCACCAGCAAGGTGTAGGGGTAGAAGGAAGGTGCAGGTACAAGGGCATTGTGGGGTGAAGCAGAAGGGTAGATCTGTGGCGGGAAGGGATGGGCAGCAGGGAGAGGCAGAGCAGGTGAGTAGAAGAGGTGTTAGGAGAGGGGATGGGGAGGGACAGCTACAGATGATCAGAGGGGGGCTAGAGGAGGAGTGGGCACAGAGGGACGAGAAGGACTGATGCAGGAGAGGGGGCTGATCCCAGGAGGGCTGAATGGAACAGCAGAGGAGTGTGGGAGGCTGGGGGCAGTGGGCACCAGGGGACCAGCAGGACTGAGGCAGGGGAGGGGGCTGGTCCCAGGAGGGCTGAATGGAACAGCAGAGGAGTGTGGGAGGCTGGGGGCAGTGGGCACCAGGGGACCAGCAGGACTGAGGCAGGGGAGGGGGCTGGTCCCAGGAGGGCTGAATGGAACAGCAGAGGAGTGTGGGAGGCTGGGGGCAGTGGGCACCAGGGGACCAGCAGGACTGAGGCAGGGGAGGGGGCTGGTCCCAGGAGGGCTGAATGGAACAGCAGAGGAGTGTGGGAGGCTGGGGGCAGTGGGCACCAGGGGACCAGCAGGACTGAGGCAGGGGAGGGGGCTGGTCCCAGGAGGGCTGAATGGAACAGCAGAGGAGTGTGGGAGGCTGGGGGCAGTGGGCACCAGGGGACCAGCAGGACTGAGGCAGGGGAGGGGGCTGGTCCCAGGAGGGCTGAATGGAACAGCAGAGGAGTGTGGGAGGCTGGGGGCAGTGGGCACCAGGGGACCAGCAGGACTGAGGCAGGGGAGGGGGCTGGTCCCAGGAGGGCTGAATGGAACAGCAGAGGAGTGTGGGAGGCTGGGGGCAGTGGGCACCAGGGGACCAGCAGGACTGAGGCAGGGGAGGGGGCTGGTCCCAGGAGGGCTGAATGGAACAGCAGAGGAGTGTGGGAGGCTGGGGGCAGTGGGCACCAGGGGACCAGCAGGACTGAGGCAGGGGAGGGGGCTGGTCCCAGGAGGGCTGAATGGAACAGCAGAGGAGTGTGGGAGGCTGGGGGCAGTGGGCACCAGGGGACCAGCAGGACTGAGGCAGGGGAGGGGGCTGGTCCCAGGAGGGCTGAATGGAACAGCAGAGGAGTGTGGGAGGCTGGGGGCAGTGGGCACCAGGGGACCAGCAGGACTGAGGCAGGGGAGGGGGCTGGTCCCAGGAGGGCTGAATGGAACAGCAGAGGAGTGTGGGAGGCTGGGGGCAGTGGGCACCAGGGGACCAGCAGGACTGAGGCAGGGGAGGGGGCTGGTCCCAGGAGGGCTGAATGGAACAGCAGAGGAGTGTGGGAGGCTGGGGGCAGTGGGCACCAGGGGACCAGCAGGACTGAGGCAGGGGAGGGGGCTGGTCCCAGGAGGGCTGAATGGAACAGCAGAGGAGTGTGGGAGGCTGGGGGCAGTGGGCACCAGGGGACCAGCAGGACTGAGGCAGGGGAGGGGGCTGGTCCCAGGAGGGCTGAATGGAACAGCAGAGGAGTGTGGGAGGCTGGGGGCAGTGGGCACCAGGGGACCAGATGGGTGAGGGGAGGGGAGGCGACATGGCAGCAGAGGGAAAAGGGAGAGGTTTATAAGATATTTATTAATAACTTGGGTGCCGCGGTGGCACATCCCAACAAGTGCACATGGACTCAGCACTGGTGCCCAGGACACACCTCACTCCACTCCTGGGAGGAAAATCTTCCCCCTGTCTCTCCCCAAGTGAATGCAATGCAAGTTGGGTTAATGCAATTGGAGGATAGTTGCATGGGGGGGTTCTGTGGGGGCCAAACTCATCCCTATTGGTAGAGGACAGCGGGAGGAGTTCTTAGAGGGGTCACATGACACCCTTTACTTCTGGTCATGTGTTCATCTTGACCCTGGGAGTACTACCTCCAGGGCTGGGACTTCTTGTGGCAGGGGACGTGGCTAATGTGTCCCTAATTTTGGTTTGGAAAATATGGTCACCACACCCAGTATTCATCTGGAGCCCAGGCTGAGCACTTCAGTTAGCACCCTATGGCTCCAGCAGGGTGGAGGAATCACGCTCACAAGCCAACCCCAGCTGGAGCCAGGGAGGTTACAGAGTGGGCATCAAAGGCAGAGTCTGCAGCTGATGGGCTCTGGGGCCAGGGCAGGAGCAATGCTCCTTCCAGCCACTGACCTTTCCCACCCAGCCCACTCCTCAGACTGACAGCCTGCCCCACCCCACCGCTCCCAGCAGGCGAAGGACGAGGCAGCATGATGGAGTTTATCGTTTAATGTCAATAAATAAGCAGCTAGAACGGTCTCTTCGTTTCCTCCTCGGGGCGCTACACCTTGGCCGACAAAAGGCTTTTGTCTGTTCAGTTACCTTGGGCATCTCGCCCCCCTCTGCCCGCTGCGCACGGAGTCGCAGGTGTGAGCTGGTGACATGCCAGCAGGCTGGGTGCCAGCAAGGAGACAGGAGGGGCAGGGGTGCTCAGAGAGAGCAGCAGCTCGAATTGTAGCCAGAAGGCCGGGAGGAGGGGCGGCAGCCTCCCCCTATTCTCCAAAGGCAGCAGGCAAACCTCCAAAGGAAACCCCTCCCAGTGGGGGAGGAGCAGGAGGGCCGTGCCTTTGGGGGAGGAGAGCAGCTGTTAAATAAGAGGGGGCACCGAGGGGTTCTTCGCTGGAGGGGTGAAGATGCAGTTTCTCTAGCGGCCATAGGTGTCACTTCTTCCTCCTCTTTGGGTCTTCTGAACCCGCTGCAGGGAGAGAGGGGAGGCATGAGGCAGGGTGGGTGTCTGGGGGTGCCCAGCCCTGGCCCCCCAAGCAGAAAGGGCCCAGTGGGAGCCCCTTCACAGAGGCGTCTCCACTCAACTGGCGCTAATGCCCACGGGAGGCACAAAGGGGGTGGGGGGACCGCATCCAGGCTGCCGCCTCCAGGCCCTGCCCTCCCCACAGTGGGAGCCCTCTTTGCCCTGGCAGAGCAGCAGCTGGGGGAAAGCAGCACCAGCCACTGGTGCCTTTGGTGGCAGCCGGGGGTGATGGTCTGTGGCAGAGCCCCCCAGCGCAGCAGCTCGTATGACAGTGTCAGAGCAACCCCCATCCCGTTGGGCCCCCACAGCCATGGGGCGAGTGGAGGGGAATGCAGAGGCACAGCAGGGGTAGGAGGGTGGAGTACCCGGCCCAGCCACAGAGCGGCACTGGGAGACACGGCCCTGCCCCAGACCCCACATGTCAAACCACAGCAAGAGCCCAGCCAGGAGCTGCTGGCAAAGCAATGAGATTACACATGCCCCCAGGGGACAGACAGACAGAGTGGGACAGGCAAGGCATGCAGGAAAGGATCATGGGATACCTGAGACTCAGGCTCAAGGAGCTGGAGGGAAAGGAGGTTACGCTACAGGGGAAAGGATAATAGAACCAGTTAACAGAGATGGGGTGGAAGCTGTGCAGGAGAGAGGGTTAGTCCAGACCTGCATATGGGATGGCAAGATTAGATGGAAGGTGAAACCCATCCAGGGTGTGGGGCTCAAACCCACTGCAGAACAGCACAGAGCCAGGTGGGGGTGGGAGAGTCTCAACAGCAGTCTGGCCCAGCCCCTTGGCGACAGAGGACATGGAAATGCCCAGTCGGTAAAGGACAAGGACTGCATCAGGTAGCAGATGGGATAAAAAACAACTCTGGTCCTGCTGCTCTAACCACTAGACCCCACTTCCCTCCCAGAGTTGGGATAGACCTCAGGAATCCTGGCTATCTGCCCACTGCTCTAACCACTAGACCCCACTCCCCTCCCAGAGCTGGGATAGACTCCTGGAGTCCTGGCTCTCTGCCCACCATTCTAACCACTAGATCCCACTCCCCTCCCAGAGCTGGGCTAAACCTCAGGAACCGTGGCCCCCAGGGCAGTCAATGGCTGGCTCTGTGCCCGTTCGAGCTGCCCAGATGGGTGTGTTACATGGCAGGTGGTGTTGATGGTGCATGGTTATTAGTAGGGGCTGGAAGACAGCGATGGGACTGGCACCCTGGTGCCCGTGGGAGCTCAGGACGGATCCCTGCACTGTGCCCCATTGCATGGGACTGGCATCTGCACAAATTCGTGTCACAGCTCCAGCTACCGACTCCTGCTGGGAGGCTGCAGCTGGCCCAGCCTAGCCAGGCCTTCCCCTGGCAGGGAAGTGCTCTTACCCTCCAGGTAGTCCCGGGCAACAAATTTCAGCACCTCGTCCAGGAGGATGACGGGGAAGGAGATCTTCAGCACCACCAACCAGTGATGCAGGTCCAGCGGTGTCAGTTTGAAGATCATCTGGGGATGGGGGCAGCAAAGGGGGGTCATGGGGAGAACAAGGCAGGGGCACACGAGTGTGGGGAAGCGTCTCTACAGAGCAGGCCTGGAGTCTCGGGGAGATTCCACAGCCTCTGGGAGCAGGGCTTGGGGGATTGCCCAGCCCCCTTGGATGGGTTTGTAGGGGAGCCTGGACACCCTCCCTATACCAGAGCAACATCTGCCTTGTCAGGCCTTGTCCACAGTGCGGATGTCTAACAAAGCAAACCCAGGCCTGTCTCAAGTCTGGTGCACGTACGCATGCAGGCCAGGCCAAAGGAGCTTTGAGAGTCAGGGGTGTGTGCACAATCATACAGAACTTGCAAAGTACAGCGAGACCAGGCCAAGACGACCAGAAAAAACCTGGTACTAGTACTTCCCATTTTTTATACGAAAAAAATTCCAGACATGGCGCTTTTGCAATATTTTGGCATAGCAAAATATACCCTAAATATTGGCATAATAGGCATCTTCCATAATATGCAGTTGATTGGTGGCAATCACTAGAACGACCATGTCGAGTATAAATATAGGAACAGAAAAGATCATTTGTGGGAGGGAATGAGAGTATTGACTCTCAGAGCCTGCTCTTGATGTAACTAGAAGTAATTGTAGAAGCTATTTTATATTTAGCTAAAAGCCATTCTGTATAACAAAAAGCCATTTCAGTTTCTTGTGTCTGCACAAGGAAGTAAACTGGCCTTCACCGAGGTGGGGAAAAACCAAAGGAATGCGCTGTTGGAATGTGTTGTTAAACTATTTTGAGCTGAAGCTCGAACTCCCTTTTAACCTGTTTCTTTCTATGCTAATAATAATTCCTCTTTGAAGTTCTCTTTGATTTCTTGCCCTGACGTCAGACTTGTTTGGTTAAGGGTATAAAATACTAGGATTGATTGTATTAAGCAGCCTTACTGGACCCGGCTTTGCTAGGACCACGTTTGGCTCACTTTGCTTTTATTGGCCAATAAAACTGTCTGTTTAGCCGCGTAAACTGAGTGAGGCGTTTGCTTCGACAATTTGGAGGTTCCACCGAGATTCCTAACGCGCCACTTGCCCATATGGACGG